ACGGGAAAGAGGATGGTTTAAGAGTGGTTCTGGTACGACGACGTGGAGGTGAACGGCAGGGAATAATCGAGGTATATGAATGGATTAGGTCGCGCTTATATGTGCCCAGGTGGGGTTAAGAGCGAGTGGGCGTGATGAAACCCCAACGTCGAACTTTGGGGACAGCCAGCCACATGCTTGGCCCGATGGCACGGCTACAATAGCAAAGCTGTCCCAAAGGAGTTGTCACTCCTGTGTTCAATTCTTGCACTGCTCCCATCACTCCCTCCCAGCACCTAAACAGCATAATTTCAAGCATTGCCGTCTCATGACCAGAATATCTCCATGAGCTAGCATTTTAGTCTGCCAACGAGCGTTTGAGTCAAGATCGCAAGGACTCGACCCAGCGATATCCGAGGTGGCATCTGCCAGTTTATTGATCCGCAGAAGTTGAAGTACCCCGAGATCATTACCCCGCCTTAAACTTTGCAAGACTAGGCGAGACTAGATTTGGCAGGCAGGGCGCATGGTTCTGTTCTATGTTGTCATTGCAGACGACACTATCCTGGTCATCGGGGAGGATCTGTTTGACAGAGCCATAATGTCTTGCCCACATCCACGATGCCCAACCTGCACCCGGTGCTGATATACGCATCAGCCGGCATAATCAACGCATACCGTGCTTATGCTCGTCCATATCCTCATAGGCGCTGAAAGTCCATTGCTCAGTTCTTCAGTTCATGGGTGTGCCCTGGTGTGCCTCGCTGGGCCTTTTTACTAGTCATCAAGGACATGTCCTTGCATCTTGAGCTTGCCGAAGGACATCAATCAATGGATCGATACTTTACTCCGGAAGCTCGCTGGGTGACGTTTCTGAGCCTGTGCCTGTAATGGAACCTCAGAGGTACCGCAGTGAAGCACATGTACAGCCAGTACTTTGATGATCAATGTGCGGGTTCGCGCAGCTTTGCGGGGTGTGACAAGCGGATTGCTGTATCATCAACATTAGAACTCCAACTGCGACCGAAGTTCCTTGAACCTGTTCGTAGCTGCTGCGCTTACTACGCTGGAGAATATTCAGACCACGATTGTTCACCTGAAGGCGACGGATAGCCGCCAATATCCTGCGGCGGTTTAAGTATATGCGGTCACCTGGGTGCATATGTTTCAGGTGGCTCGTGTTTGTTGCATCCATCACTTGAACTACACGGCTAAATACAGGTACATTTATTGCGATTGGTTACTGGAGCACGGGCGTATCTAAGTGGAGTCCAGTAGCAAGAAGGGGATGCGTGCAATGCTAATGAAAAACTCGTGGCTACGATGTGATGGGATGATGGATAATGTTAAGCAAATGACGAGCGCAGAAGGTGCTGCGTATAATATGAGCTAGGCAGTGCACCGATGTAGCTAACTTAGGTGCATGCGGGGCAGACAAGTGATGGGCCCGCCTTGCCCCACAGTAACTCGACACTGCTGGTGATCCGCACAGGCACAGATTCTAACAAGGTGAGTAATATGTACACCTGGATATTAATGTCGATAAAAGTGCAAACGATTGGTGCTGGTTGAGCAATATGTAACTCCGAAGGTTTTGGATTGGACGCGGTGGGAGGCTGGGCAGTTGGCCATGTATGGGTGCCGAGGTTCCTTGAGAACCGTACTAGACAGCGAATGGTTGGCCGTCGAAATGGTTCGCGAGAGTTACTGCACATCCACGAGCAGGTTGCGCTCAAGGATATATTTGCCCTCCTTGTACTGCTGCGAGGGCTCGTATGCTCGATCCTGATGAATGGTATTCCCTCCTCGGTTAGCAAGGTATGCAGGCAACTCAAACCGATGCTACGCACGTATTTCCATCCCAGAACCATCTGACATTTGATACATGAGATGTCCCGAACGGTGTGTTTGCCCGTCGTCATTTCGCGATCAGCTGGCTCGCCTTCAGTGACGTTGACGCTATGGACGCCGGGTAGTTGTCAGTATGGCATACGAAAGCCTTGGGACGGGGAAGCAGATGTGCCATATGACTCACACCCCGTCGAACAGATACGCTCGGCCATGCTGCCCGTTGAAAGCCTGCGCAAGATAAGAGGGATCAGCATGTGGTTCCCAATGCTACTGTAAGGTTTACGCACTCTGGACATCATGGAATGGATAGTGGCCAAATGCGTCTTGCAGTTTGCACACCCGTAGATCCGCTCGCCCTCAAGGTAAACTCGATAGGTTAATCCCATTGTGGTAGAATTGAAATCGGTCAGTGAATGTGGAAGTCAGAAGTGGGTTGTGTCACACTTGAAAGCACTCTCGATGCCTCCACAGGCTCGAGTCGTTCGTGATCGATGAGAAAGTCGATGGTGAAAAGGGTTCAAGGTTGTGTGACTGTCCTTGGGCAACGGGCGCCCAGTGAGTTGGCGGGACTATTGTCCCTCTCGCTCAGCGGCCCGAATCTGCTTTTGGTTGCATCTGCTCTTGCTCTGGCACCACCATCTCACATCGTAACTTCAATAAAGTTTTTCGAGCCCTCCGCCCATGAATTCATATTGCTCCATGAAATCTCATTCGACGAATCTGTGCACATGCACGCTAGTACCTTTCCTGACTTTTCCTGATAGGCTCGTTTATCTGCACGGCGACCTTGTGGCGTCCACATTATCAGCCATATCTGCAAGTTCCGAACCGACCAGGATTCCGAACATTCTAGGTTTTAGCAAAGTATTTGCTATCATGCCTCATCAATCAGTGACTATTTTAGATCTTAGCCCTCTCTTGACACGATGCATCGCATCTCATCTGCAATACCACCTTGTGCACCAGACCACAGGCGCGAACTTGGGCATTCAATTATAAGAATAAGTCACTGTCCATCTGATTTATGAGTCTCGGCTCAGGCCCGACGGACTGAAGGTCGAGACGAGTTGTGATACATCCAATATACAATGAATCAGGTCCGTTTGCCAGGTTGGCAAACAACACCGTGTGCACTGCATACTGCAGTATACGACAGACTAGTCGCCGAGGCTCAGAGCACGATTTTACTCGCCAGCCAAGGGCTTTAACTTCAGTTAAAGGGTGGCGTGGACGGGCGCAAGTCCTGGATCGCATGTCTTCCGACTAGCAGCTAGTGATGCCAACCTTCCAGGATGCATGTCTCGCTGCAATTGGGACATCGGTCCGACTGGGCGTATACAGGAAATAAGCACACTTCTAGTTCAGTTGTACATAGTAACATGCTCTCTTCAGGCCGCGACACAGAGGCGGTTTGCGAAAATGAGAAGGTAAGTAGTAAATTGATCTTGGCAGCTAATCATCTGGTCATTCTAGATCTTACATGGCCAAGGCTTCGCCAATTGGAAACTATTTTGATCTAGCTTTTCGAGGTAAACTATCGCTGAGTATCTTCAACACAACATTGTCACTTGAAAAATCGACATTGGGTAGACTCTTGTGATAAATTTAACAGTACGTGCACAACATGACATCTTTACCGTCCCATATGACTTTTTCAGGTTAAATGACACCTTGAAAGAACCCTGTGGCATGCCAACATCTCGCGGACCTGCTCTGGCTTTGGGTTCTATATGATCACATCTGTCTCTGATAGCTTCTACGTCTTTGGTGGAATTATTTACCCATTACGGGAAGCGTGTGTACAACCCATTTTTACTGCTTATCTGGCTCGTCAGACGGAACTCGAAGATAATACTAATTGCGGCAGTGATCATGCCTACCGCATTTCGTTTTGCGGAACTCAGAGATCACTACGCGAGAATGATTGATAGTGCTATGCTTGGATCGACATGCCAGTGTAGCAACGGATTGCTGGTGGCACCGACTTCGATCTATTGAGACTCTGTCCCAATGCATCAATTTCGGAGATCTGGAATGCTCTATAATACATCAGAATATGTCAATTGTGTTTGGTTCATGTCAAGTCGAAAGTGATCATGATGCGCATGGGCCTCAATGGCTGCAAGTTGGATCGCTGTCTCGAAGCGGTTAAAATATGGATTTTGCCGGCCTGGTGGCATCCTTATAAGTGGCTATCTAAAGATTCTAAACTACCAGCGACATCCTGATTTGTGGACCGCGTGCCATCGGGTTTATGGGTTAGATGTGCGGTGTTCAAGTCCTCATGGCTCAAGGTTTCTGCGCCACCGATGAACATTGTGCTCCAGTACGCCGTACTTATTCCCAGAACCGCCTGCGTCCATGCCTTTGGAACTTATATGGATACATGAATGGACAATCTCGGCGATCAGGTTATTATTGCCCCTTCTGAAATGTTGATCCGCAATATGCGAAATGGGACATGTATCAGTCCGTAGATATGCAACACGGCGAACTGGCCACGCCGCGTCAAGATGTAGCTAAATTTGACCAGGCGTAAATTTAGGAACTTATACGACGATTTGTAAGGTTTTGAAGAGGGCAGACAGTAACGGGACCCGGTGAAATTTCCGAGGGGATCACAGTGGTGGATTTCTTTGTTGTGCAGAAATCGATGCTATAAAATGAATTCTGCGGCATCATCCATCGGGTTTCTGCTCCCACAAAACCTCGAGAATGGCTCTTGAGTCTTGAATAATTACATTCGTCATTTGGTTAGTTTGAGGGAGGGCTGCGCGGTCGAGATGCACAATTTGTAACCCTGCGGCATTTGTGCAGCCGGTGTCAATCATTGTAATTTCCTGAAAATCCCCCCAAGTCAGTTGATCAGTGTAGCTACAGACTAGTACTTATAGCTTTTAATGCATCGTACCCATGCACATTTATCATGGACAAAAGAACAATGACCGACACGGCAGGTATGGCACATGTAGCGCCACGGGAACAACTGCTCGATATGAAAGCCTCCTCTTCCCTGCAAGTGCATATACCAAGATAAATTAAATATGAAAGGTGATAACATGTCATTGCAAGTATAGATTCTAAAAACAGGCTGGAAGGAATCACCAATCAAGGAGTTCCTGGGAGAAGTTGTGCTTCATCATGCGATCCGTTCAATGTGCAAAAATAATTGCTCGGTATGAGGGTCGAACTCATGATCTCCGGATTACGGGATGCATCATCCCTCAGATCATAGTATGAGACCGGCGCTCTAACCAACTGAGCCAACCAAGCGATGAAAACTATGCAAATTGATTCGGTTTCGACCCGGCTCTGCGAAAGCTGGACCCCCGCTACGTAACCCATACCTCTCTGAAGTCTTCATAAGTAGAGAACTTAATGTGCACCTGTTTTTTTAAACAATATGAACATTTGGGACATTGCAAATCCTTTCAACTGGCTATCAATCACACAGTGTATATTCAAGGTAGCGCTTCTGGCTGTGTCTGCAAACCTCCTTTTAAAATGACAATTGTGGACTCATGTCCATTTGATACATAGGCCATGGATGTGTTGCTGAGAGCTAGGAATATTTATGGCGAACTCGAATGATGCAGGAATGACAATTGTGAAAATCCACTCGACGAAGTAAAGGTCAGCCAGCCGCATTAGCACACCTCTTTAGGAAAAGCAAAACAAATTAAAGGATACTGTATGGATCAATATTTAGATATCTCAACTCAAGGCACAGACTTTGAGGCCGCGAGGCAGTCGAAGCAGAGGGCGCGCGCAGATGATATCCTACTCGATTCGGATAAGGATGTTACGCTTTTGGAACCCGATTCCCGGATGTATTAGCAACCGACTCCTGGACGTGTCTGACCTCCGACCACCGTATCCCGGTCCCGGGCGTGATTCTGCTCTATCTGGCCTGCTTATATTATTCCCAAATCCTGACAGTCTTTCTATTGTGTACCATCTGCTTCTTCTCCGAACGTGCACTGTTGGCTCTTGCGTGAGACCGACTGGTTCGATGAACTCAAGGAAGAGACAGGCGCAGGAACCCTTATTACCCATTGGCTCAGTCAAGCATCGTCGCACGCGATATAATCTCGAAGAGGACTCTGGCCTGGCCACACGGTGGATAAATTTCTTCAAAGAGGGGTGGGCTCTCACTGGGTTGACTTTTGCGCAAATCACGGAGAGTAAGTTCTACGCGTCTTTAACTGTACAGTTGATTTTGACGCCTTATGTGCTGATAGGAGGAACCTCCACACCTGAACCCCTGCTTCCTGTTCTCTCATCTTCTCATCAAACCCACAGCCATTTACCGCCGCGAACGCCTTCAAGCTCATACACACCAACACAACCCTCGTCACCGTCACGCCCACTGCAGCATTCATCGAGGGAAACACGAAAGCCGAGACTCGTGCCAGAACCCTATCACCCATCGACCATATCCGCGACAGCCTCCACTTCATCGATACCATCCACCTCCACTTCCACATATACTACGCACCCCGAAGTCGATCGCGCCCTCACCGAAGCTGAACGCCGGATACGCCGGACCTCTCCAGCGAAGCCATATACTCGACCTCACATCTACGCTGACAGCGTGCGTGCTCTCTACGCATTCCCATGCGTCATTCTTACATCTGGTTCCTTCAGCACAAGGCAAAAGTTAAGATACAGACACAAAAAGATCGTGAAGAGATGGAGAAAGAGCTTTACAACATAAAACGCAGCGCGGGTACGTCTTCATCCTTGGAGAAGTGATCGAGAACGAGAACTCACGCATTCCATGATAGGATATAAATCCGACTTCCCCACATTCAAGGGTGCGCATGCTCTTCTACAACTCGATTCTTCCTTAACGCCAATCATTAGGATTGTTGGACTATCAGCGCAAGTTAGAGGGCTTCAATGCGCCTGTTCTCTGTACGTTCATCGACGCAGATCCACTGCTAATACTAAACGCTTCTTCATAGCTTCCGCGTCGTCCATAGACGTCAGTTCAAGATATCACGCACCTGAGCGAAGTCGACGGCACTCAGACGTAGGTCATCTGCCAGCCATGTGTACTTTCCCGCTCACAATCTCTCCAGGGCGATACTTTCCTAGAGCGTGCACTGGCAAAGGCTAGGGCAACTCTGAATGGGTGCGTCTCTTCGAACAATCGTATTCATAATATCCAGGAACTCACGTATCACAGGCCCAAACCACCGAAACCATGGCTGCCCACATTCGAGCAATTACAGATCTCAGCGCGGGCCAAAGACGAAAAGATCGAGCAACGTCTGCGGCCCAAGCGCAAGCCACTCCCTGCCTCGCTATCTTCACAAGATAATGCAAGAGTTGATTCCCTCCTCAAGACCCGTGGAGTGATCGCGAAACACGCACGGGAGCAGGTGTGCGATAAGGACTTGACGCGATTACGACCTTCCCAATGGTTGAATGACGAGATTATGAATTTCTACGGCTCGATGATCATGTCTCGCTCAGAAGGAGGCAAGGAAAATCCTGCTGCGAAGAATGGTGCTACCCAGGGGAAACCCCTCAATGCACATTACTTCAGTACGTTCTTCTGGTCCAAGTTGACTGGCGAGGGATACGAGAAAGGGCGGCTGGCCAAATGGACTAAAAAGGTCAGTGAAAGCGGACGACTTCCTAGAACATTTTGCTGACAAGGCAGGAACAGGTCGACATTTTCACCAAGGATGTCATACTCATTCCTGTAAACCACAATAATGCACATTGGACGGCAGCCGCAATCAACTTCCGGAAGAAGCGTATAGAGTCGTACGACAGCATGAACATGGACAGGCAAAGTGTCTTCAAGGTATAAACTTGCACCTGCTCTTTCGCATCTTTCTCAATTTTTTTTGCTAGCGTCTTCGTGGTTATCTCGATGCTGAGCACCGCAACAAAAAGAAGCTGCCATTTGATTTCACTGGCTGGCAAGATTATTTGCTTGAGGTTCGCAAACAGTTATGCCTTGTCGCGTTTCTGCTGACAATTTCTCGCCAGGGCACACCACAGCAAGAGAACTGCTTTGATTGTGGCGTCTTCACGTGTCAGTTCCTGGAGCACATATCGAGAGGCGAGGAGAGCTTCAATTTCACTCAAGGAGATATGCCTTATCTGCGGAGACGCATGATTTGGGAGATTGGGAATACTACATTTATGGACTCATAGTGCCGCGCACTCTGGCTATGTTCCTCTGTATATTTATGCCATATTTTGCGAGCCGCGTAAGAGCGTACAATACTGACGATTAGTAGGTGTAATAGCAATGCGATGCGAGGTGTACTGCGAATAAGTGAACATGGTGAGCATACATACGCATGTGCGGGCTATCGGCGGAACCACCACACTACGATGAAGAACCAAAAGACGAAGACGAGAAACATAATGTACCATAGCCAACGACAGCCCTGCCGCGCTGACATGTTATTCATCCGTCGAAAGGTTCCAGATAGAATGCCTGACGTCTCCGAGAATGCATCGTTCTTTCAGACAACACTTTAGCACTTCTTTACGCGCCATTTCGTAGAGGAGCACATACCATTTGACTAAGCTGTACTGTAGAGTCGCGTACCTCGTTGCCGATTGCAGAAGTGATCTATACCGAAGAATGTAAGCCTGGAACAGAGCACCACACGAGTTTCACGCACGTCTTTCAATAATTTAACTTTTGCGCTCAAGCCTTCAAGATGTTCGTCATTTTGCCCTTCTATGTCATCCGCGAAGCGCTGTCCGTTGGGTTGGTAGTGTGAATCCAAAGGAGTGGAGCGCCCGGAAGACGGCGGTGTCACACCTAGCAATCCACTGCGGTCCCGCAAAGAGCTAGTGGGTCGTATCCTGCAGGATGGTCAGGCAGGACATTGAAGACGAGTGCACCCAGAGCTGACCGTTGAGACATAGTGGCAGAGACTTTCGAGCGTTCGCGCAGGTTCGCAGACGTGTTCAAGCAGTTCAAGCGCGGTGTCTTTACGCAGCGCATGCACTTATTGGTGACCACAATAATACCCTCGAGGTTTTTTGCAAGCTAACAATACATCTATACGAACAGGTATCGAAAAAAAGAAAGTAAAGACCGCCCCAAATACGATGAGACAGACGCGAAAAGAAAAAGAAAAAAGATGGATCCCACTTCCTTGGGCGATGTAAACGTATGAAAGAATGGAGATCGCCTAGGGTGGTCATCTAGAAACAACAGTCGAGCGCGAAGTTATGGTATTATATATGAAACGGCGCAGGCAAGAACCCGCAAGAAAATAATGCGCAAGTTTGGGAGGAGGGTGTGTGTGGTGGTTGATTTGGGTGGGAGAAATGTCCAATATACAGGTGATTCGAGCGAGTTACAAGTCCATGAGGGGGTCGTGAAGGTGGATACGCAACAGCAGTGCCATCATTCGATGCTCATGCGATTTGGGTTCGCACTCATCGCACGGTGGTGCAAATGCTGGGACCCCCATCGTGTGTGCTCGCTCTTTTTGGCCACTGGATAGTGACATAATGGGTCAGTACCTGGTATCAAAATCAAGGTCTCAGCACGCACTTGTAGTCTTTAAGCCACGGCCAAAGTTGTGCATGACGATGCAAGCAAAAATGAACGTCGTCAAGAGGAGCATGATAGAGATTACGGCTGGAAAAGTTGATTGTAAGCAGTGTGTTTCAAACTAATAAAATTACTTGCAGAACGTGGAGAGTGACTTCCAGACTAGTTGGTACTTGCCGGTTCTGCCACTCCAGACTTTTACCAGCTATTTTGAAATCATGAGCGCTGAGAGAAGGGTGTCAAGACATCAAAGCCAACCTTGTAGACGAAATAAACCAGTCCACTGGTGCAGCCAGTCATGAATGTGATCATCATCCACTTGTTCTCGTGCCGCGCCGCCAAATGACCTTCCACAAGTAGGACAATTGATAACGGAAGAGCAGCGCAAGTGACATAGTACTCCCAGTCGCCAGGTTCGAGCACGATCCAGATGAACTGGACGGAGAATCCAATCCAAAAGAACACGTCGAACTTGACTAAGCACTGGAAAACCTGGTAGTAGCCAAACATCTGCTTGATTCTGCGGTCGGCGCCAAGGAATTTGTAGACCTTCCAACCGAATTCGTGGTATATTTTCCACGCTAAGCCGATGTATATCAGCTCGGCGACTGCAATAACTATAGGAATGATAGTGGTCAATGTGCCAACGGGGATGTGAGATATGCCTGTTTTGAGGTCGGCGCCTATGGCCTTGATTTCGGTGATCTGGATGACGGCGTAAAGCAAGAAAAGA